CAACTTGACATCACAATGTCATGCTCCCTCCTCCAGCATCTGGGCCACCTTTTTTTCCCCCCCATTCAGTTAAGGATGGTTATCCCAGGCTGAATGAAACAGTCTCACAGTCTCCTTACTGGAGCAAGGTTTCTAAACCTATCTGCCTGCCCTTCCAAAATAGATGCTGTGGCTTCATTTAAAAAGGTATTAAAAACCCAGCTCAACCCTGTGAAGATCTTCAAACTATGCCAGTCTTATTGAATGTGACTTGCAGCTTTCCTGGCCAATGATAGCCACAGCGGGGCCACAGACGTCTCTGTTATTTATTGTCCTTCTTAGCCTTTGACTTGGTAGTATAAAAGGTGACAGTTTAGAAATGTCACATTTTTACTTGGGATTTTGAAGCGGAGACTTGGCTTACAGAGGAAGGAGCCCATATGATGTGGGCAATTTGTAGCATCCTTGCTCAACTTTTGTAAAGCTCAAGTTCTTATGGTCTTGGGGGTTCTGCTGGAGGTCGCGTGGGTGGGGGGTTTGGAGAGGGTGGGACAGAAGTGAGAGCAATGGGGTGGGTTCTTATGGCATACTGTAAAACAGAGGTTGATGATTGACTGGAAATCTTCTGATGTGGCACAGGTTGAAGATGGAAGGAGTATTTTTAAAGGTTTTAATTATTAAAGTAAAAGTTTAAATTATCATTTTTAAAAAATTCCTGTGTCTATAGGTAAAATCTTGCTGAGGTTCTCATCTACAGCTCTTGGCTCATTTCTCTATGGAACTATAGACTCTGGTGCGTGGTCCCTCATGGCAAGTGCTCCAGTGGCTTCATAGTGAGATCCACGTTCTCACTTTGGTGGTTGTGTAGCATACTGGACAGGACACGGGTTCAGGAATCAGGCTTGGTATTGGCTCCTGCTGACCTTTTTGACTAGTGAAAACTTGGAAAGTTTGGATTTGCTGAGTTTTAGTTTTCTGAATCTATAAAATGCAAAAAAATTTATACTTACCTCATAGGGCTGGTGTAAGAAGGCTGCTGGGAGCAATACCTGGGATCATGCATTCACAGCACCTGGCACGTGGGTAGGCCTCTTAGTAAACAAGAGCTCCCCAGCCCCTTCCCTCCTTTAAGGTGCTAGATTGGAGCACAGTTGGTTTCTAGTTGCATTCCTCTTGTAATTAAACTTCCCTACACTGCATGACTCCAATTCATTTTATAGCCTTAAATCAAATAGTCCTGCCAAACTCGCCTCTGTGAAAGCCATCTTCCATTAGGTTAACATGAATTTAAGGAAGATGTTAATGAAATGGCAAAACCCTCAACCTACAGAAAGCTAAACTCCAGAAAATTTGCTATGTTGTTCCATTTGCTCATAGAACATAATCATTTCCACCTTATGGAAAAAAAGATTTATGATCAACTCCTGATTGTTGACTCGAGTCATTATTTCAAAAACAGAGGTGTCTACACACTGTTCTGGACTGTGCCTGGGACCTGGGAATAGAGCAAGACATATCTAACCAGTGAGTGGCTTCAGTGTGTCTGAAGCCCTGGGTTGGGCCTGAGCTCTCCAGACTGACGGTGTGTGCTGGATTCTCCACTGTGCTGATGACCGGCTCTGAGGAATACCTCCACGGCATCTCAGTGCTTTGATAGTTCATTTCAGAATGCATGAGAATGGAGGAATCTCCTGTTACTTGTTACCTATCCATTTCAGATAGAACATCTCACATAAATGCACCACTAGGATCCACTGGGTAAAGACCAGGTAACGAGGGAAAAGCAAATATCCCCAGAACACAGCTGCCATGATATCCTGCTTATTATATCAGGGGCATGTGAAAGAGAACAGTGCCTCCTAGTCCATTCCGTCCAAAGACCAAATGTCCCTGAATTCAAGCAGTCCCTAAATGTGAGGAGGGTCCCCCATATCTTGCCCGGGAGGGAAGGAATACCCCAGTGGTTCAGAATGTGGGCTTTGGACTCGTAGATCTGGGTTTGAATCCCAGCTCTGCTTGTGACCTTCAGCAAATTCTGGATCATGCAAGCCTCATTTTCCTCCCGTGTAAAATAAAGCTAATAATGGTTCCTGTCTCACAGGGTTATGGTTCAGATTAAATGAGGTAATACATGAAATAAGTTCAGCCTGGCAGCTAGTCGGAGTTAAGTGCTTGACAAATGTTAGCTGAAATGATTATTAGCTATTATTAGTACTTGCTGATTATTCTACCTGGCAGATCTATTAGCTTTGGAGTGCCTGTATTTTGTGTTGCTGGAGAGGAGGGAGAGGTTTGAAGTTCTATCCAGAATCTGATTCATTCTTCTTTTCCTAGTCCCTATATGTCTCCTTCAGGTATCCATTTCCATCATTTAAGTTAAAGAAGTGATTACTTTAAGTGAAATATCAAGTGTCAGAGCTAGAATGACACCATAGGTTATACAGTTTATTTTCTCCATGATATTCAAGAGAAAAATAAGGTTGCCTTCAATAAACTCTGACAACAAAGGGATACTTACCTTCTTCTTGGAAATAAATGAGAAGCCTTAATCTCATTCTTGGGGCTGGGAACATTAGGGTTGATGAACACTTACTCCAGGACCCTTTGTGACACTGCTATGACAGAGTTTTGGGTATGAGGATCTGTCTTACCTATGCTGAGCTGTTAACGCCCCCTAGACATGCAGTGGTGCTCAGCATGTGCTCCAGAACAGAGACTGGCACACTATAGCCCTCCCTCCAGTCACGGTCTTTGTAAATAAAGCTTTATTGGAACACAGCCCACTCATTTGTTTACCCGTTGTTTGCTGATCTTAGGCTAAAACAACAGGGTTAAGTAGTAGTGATGGAGACTGGATGACCTATAACACCTATGTGTACGACCTGGCCCTTTGTACAAATGGCACGTGGGCTTGCTGTGCTGGCCCCCTTTAATGGTGGTCCTTGTCCTCCCACCATCCTCCAGGTAGACACCCGCTGCTCTTTGGTTCTTAGTTCCTAGACCACCCATTCTCTGAAGTCTTCCTGACTCTTGGAACCACAAAGAAACAGCTCTCATTCCCAGACAGACCCCGGCGCTTAACATATTTCACTGCCTTTGTTAGTGTCTAGATCTGTTTCAGCTCCTTGAACTGTGAGCTCCCATAGGGCAGAGGCCACGCCCAGAGGCTGCCACATTGCCAAAATTTAAAACAGGAATGAGTGAATAAATACATGCTAAGAATGTGGTACTCATTTCAATGCACCCTCATGTGAAATCAACTCTGCATAGAAAAATCCTGCCACCACATTGATGGCCTTTGAGAAGTAGGAGTTCTTGCCCCTGTCTCTAAGGCAGCCAGGTTCCTGAGGCATAGCTTGTCTTTGTTTTACTGAGCTTCCAACTTTAGGTTGTTTAATCCATGCTTTCCCTGCCATGATCACCAAGGACTCTGGGAAGGGAGATGGGGCTGGGTGCCTATGGAGTCAGTGTAGGTTTCATATGTTGTTCTAGGCAAAAATCCCTAGAAGACATCTTCCGTACATGTGCCACCAGTATTCTTCCAATTTACTCTGGATCAACAATAATACCCTAGAGGAACTGGGGTCCATAGGCTGTCATTTGGGGCTAATTGATCTAAGAAATTTAGTCCTTGAAGCTGTTCAGAGAGGTGGGGTTGGGTATGATTTGGATGAGTCAGGTATAACAAAAGGGGAAGGGCAGAAAAAGGAAAAGTTTATTATTTGAAATCTCAAACGGATTTCTTGAGCCAAATCTAATTTCATGAATGCCCTATCTTGGAAAAGTTGGTGCCCCTTAGTGTTTTGACCTGGATTCTATCCTATAGGTTAGAGGACAGTAGCCTGAGCATGGAGAGGCAGTCAAGCCCTTACTATTTGTTACTTTCCCTAACTTCTGGCCAGATATTTGGTTCTCCCAAGATAGCAACATATAATCAGGTCAGAATAGCAAAAGGTAGCAAGGGTTCTCCATCTTTTGGACCAAAAAACTGCTTTTCTGGGTTTCTCCACTCATCTAAACCAAAGTAAGCCAACAATAATAGAACACGGTATCAGTCTAGCAAACAGAAACAGCAGCTGATCCTGTCCTGATCCTGGTCTTGACTGTATGGTCAGCCCTGTTGATTTCTGCATATTGACCTTTATTGTTTAACACTGCTGAGTGGTATTTTCAGTACTCCACGTGGCGATCAGAACAGACACCTTGGAGCTGGCAGGACTGACTGGGTGGAAAAGAAATCACACTTGCCGGGACCTAAGGCAGCATGCAGCAAAAAGCCAGCAGGGCAGGCTGAGGGCAGCCAACAGTTCCCTTGCCTCAGAGGATTTCTCTGTGAGTACACAGAAACTTCTATTTTATACGTTCCTCAAGGAATGGCCACCTCTGGAATGTATGAGAGATCAATACTAAGTAGCCTCAGCAGAATCTCATCCCTGAGAAAATCCCTCTTGTTGAGTGTGGCTGTCACTTCAGGGACCAGCTGGCTGCCCTGGTGTAGAAACTCCTTAAGGGGACTGAGAGAGAGGAGGATTTTCTTGGTCTTTTATCAGCATGCAGTGGCCTTTTGTAGTGGTAGAGTCCCCCAGGGTGCCTGGAGCCTCAGGGTTTTCATTGGTGGAGATGGGAAGAGAGAAGCCAAGCTACAGGTCATCCAGTAGCACACAGCCTCAGCAGAAGGAAGACAGCAAACCCATTCCTCCAGGGAAGGACACTGCCCCAAACTGTGTTTACCTCCAATGGAGAAATGACATTGGTTTTAAAAACAAACTTTCTTGGTCTGCATGTAGGAGTTAACAAAGATCTGTCAAGAGCTGCAAGCCTCCTTTTCATTGATCTTGGGCAAGTTCAACCAAGATGGTAGAGGAGTTTGTAGCAAGCGAGCGAGAGAGAGAGAACTCAGCATTTACTTTCTAGATTTATTCCACCCCTTCCATTTTTTGCTCTCTGTTAAGTCCAAGGCAGATCTTATTAGGGCATCTTTGCGTCAAAATAACACTCAAAAACAGACACGACCAAGAGGCTAGATTTAGCCTTGGATGGTTCTTTATAGCATAAAAGGAAAATTAAAACTAGACAGAATTTTAAAAGGTGATATTGGACACACTAGAAAGCAATTTTGCCACAGGGGACTTTCAATTGATATTCAATTGTTGCTGAAACTGAGCCCTGGAGTTGGTTTCCTTTGTTATCCTAACATCTCTTCCCATTCCTTGTAAAAGTTCAGGGGAAAGAAAAAAATCCAAGAAGCAAAGCATTTAGGAAATTTTTGTTTGTTTGTTTTTCAAAGTGAATAGTCCCATGAAACACACACCAGGGTCACAGGGCTCAGCATATGGGTACTGGGTCGAGAGGAACACAATAGTACAGGGGAAGGCAGTGACCTATTAGCAGTGTGTTTTCAAAACCAAACCAAAACCTGTACAGAAGGTGACCGAGGCCTTAAGAGTGACAAAGCATCTATTTTATATGAATCAGTTGGTGATTTTTTACTAATTAATTTACTAATTTACTGATGAGCTTCCCACGTTCATGAACAAGGACAGCCTAACACTCCAGAACACAGGCCAATATTTTGGAAGCCTCCTGCCCCAGGTGGCCAATCACACTTGCCCTGCACCATGATAGTGACACAGCTTCCCTTTTGATTGTCTTTACTTGATGCTTTCTCTAGTTTTGTGCTGTCAGTCAGACCTCCCCATTTACAGTATTTGTAAAAAATTTGGCCCAGCACCCCTCACCCTTTTCTTGCCATGTGGGTAAACTATAAATAGGTGTTTGAGGTGAAAAAGCAAACTAACCAACTCAACTTTGGGATCTTTTCGGGTCCATGAAGAAGCATGAGACCCTTTGTTGTGCATGTGCTGTGCTCACCAATGCTCTGTCTCCTTATGGAAATGGTCATACAGGCTTAGTGGGCTGATTGCAAGAGGTTCCCCAAATAATGACAAGGTCATTCTCTGTTTGAGAGTCGGCCACTTTCAAAACACACACAAAGACCTCTTAGTTCAAGATTGGCCCTGGAACTGCTATTGACATTTCTATGCACTGGACATGTGATGGCTTCTCGGAGCTTGTGGTCTATTATCACAGATGCCACCGCCTGCTCAACAGCTTGTGTTGGGGAGCTGCACTTTCTCTCTCCTGTCCCCAGAAGCATCACACATACACACAAAAAAAAACCCCACATTGAAGTGTGTCTTCTCTACAGGCTGAAAAGAACGCCTCTTGGAATGTGAAGTTTGAATATAAAAGGGCTTCCCATGACAGTGATCACTGAATCATGGGAAATAAAGCCAGAAGGCAAATTTGCAATTCATCACATTATCCCCTGTTGTCTCAAATGTGATTCTTTTAAAGGCAGGCTGCATTATACACCCTTTTTGAAGCATTTTTTTTCCTTGTAACACATTGTATATTCTTTTTTTTTTTCAGAATATCTAAGTGAAAATAAAATGATAAAAATTACAATAGATTAATTGCATCCCTTGAATCACATTATATTTTTGGTGCATTAAAAAAATGAGAAAAGTAAAAGCAACCAGCATAATAAATCCAATCTATAGAACTGTGTTAGTGACTGAAGGGTTAACACAGGTTTTAGAAGTAGTTAAAAATAGTATTAGAGGATTATACATACAACAGTTTGAAATTCATATGCATTGTATTTTTTTTTTTTTTTGAAAAAATGGCAAAATGTTTGGCAAATGTAAGCAAATGACTTGGACTGTGTTTGGGGCTTACCGGCTCTGAGCAGGTCAGTCATAGCCAGGCAAGGCCCACAGCTTCCTGAGGTCACTCTGTGGGGCAGGGGGGAGGTGGGCATCACCGCAGGGAGGTGTTGCCAGGGGAAGGGGAGGTGCTGGCCTCCCACTCGGCTCCCCCTTGGACCCTCAGTCTTGAACATGGAAGTGGAGCTGGTGAGAGGTGCCAATTACACACTCCAGCATGGATCACCCATTAGCATCGCTGAGAGAACTCTGGGGCCTTGAACCACATGCAGACTGGGTGAATCGTCTACACAGTGACCCATATTGCAAAAGTTAGAGAGGGGCAGGGCTTCCACCCCTCAGACTTGTGCACCTCCCCACCCCCACCAGGAGGGAGAGGGTGGCACTGGGTATGTCACTAGTGCTTAATCTGGCAATGTTCTCAACTTGAACTTGGGTTGTTTGTTTGTTTGCTTTTTAGTAGACTTTTGTTTTTATATGATTTTTGTTTTGTATGTGTGTACATATCCAGAAATGTCCATCCTCCAAGCTGGCCACCACTGTTCCCTGAATTTGGCAGTGCCTGTTGCTTGCAGCTGTCGGCATCCTGAAAACCATGAGGTGCCTTCAAAGTAGACTGTGAGCCCCAGCAGTGCGAGCGTCCTCCAGGACAATCCCATTCTCTCCTTATTCTGAATCCTGTCTGGCTCTGATTTTTGAGAAAAAGGACAAAGGTTGTGTGTGTGTGTGTGTGTGTGTGTGTGTGTGTGTGTGTATGTGTGTTTTGAATTTTTTTTTTGAAACCCTTTTTTCTGTTTTCTTAAGAAAAATGACCCTTTGATTACTAACGCGGAGTTCAGCCCTCCTTTAGTCACTATAAAACGGATTCCATGTTTTCACACCACTCATGGTCTTCCAGGTTGTAGATAAATTTTGTCCTATGTGTCTGGTGTGCAGGCACAGGGTCCCTCCCCAGATTGTCTAGGGTCAGAGTAGAGGCAAAGAACTCACTGGTGCTCAGCCCGCCCTCGTGGTTTTTGATGTAGCGTTTATAGTTTTTCCTCAGGCACTGCCACGTGGTGGTGTAGAGGATGAAGGCGAAGGACTTGAGGGCGATGGCGATGCTGACGTACAGGTATCTGTATACCACGTTGTCATAGAGGACGCAGGCGCCTTGCTCCCCACAGAACGTGCTCCAGAACAGGCAGGTGGAGTCGATGCCGGCCCCAAAGATGAGCGGTGGAGGGATGAAGCCTGTGGGAGGGAAGAGGCTGTTGAAGGTTCTGGCTGTGGCTCCCTGTTCCCGGCTATCTCCTTATAGGCACTGGGAGAGCCTGCTGAACCCAGGGGCTCTATAGCTGGTGGTTCAAACACCAGAGAGTTGAACTGCAGGAAGTCAAATCCCATCTCTGCCTGCTGCCCAGACAATTTATTAAAGCCCTCTGTCCCCGTTTCCCTTATTGCAAAATGGAGACAATAATAGTCTTTATCAGGGTGGTGTGAAGTCTGTTACTATATGGGTAGTTTTTAGAACGGTGTGTACTATGCCGTGGGAATATACAGAGTCTGAGAAGGAATAAGCCTTTCCTGAAGGAAAACATACTTAGCGTCAGTCGCTCTGCAAAGCAGCATGGAACTCTGCACACGGTTCTCTTGCATGGGGCCTGTGGGGCTGTGTGTGTACCTAGTAGAGGAGCCAGGGATCAAAAGGGACCAGAAGTTGAACATGAAGTGTGTGTTTAGGTATAAAATGGAAATATGTACATTTATATTGGCAACTTCCCTTCTACCAGATATTGCATTTTGAGAAGACTTTTCATTGTGAGCCAGAAAGCAGTTTGAAAACCTCCCAAGAGAACATTTCAGACACCTATAACCAGTCGCCAGAAATGTCAAATGAGAGGAGAATGTTCACCATACTTCATTCAGTTCCACAATACTCTATTTGACGGATATGAGTCCTAACTGCACATTAGGATCATCTGGGATGTTCCATGCCAGAACAATGAAATCCAAGTGCCTGGGGTGCAGTCAGACAGCATTTTGAAAATAAAAATTTCCCGGTAAATCTGACCAGTTTAGGAGGGTGGGAGGGTTGGGAGGTCCCTCTGTACTATGGGTAACTAATGGATGAGTCATTAATACCAATTAATTATTCCATACATAAGTGTCTGAGACCAGAAGATATCAACACCTTTGGTGAGAGACCTCAGAAGTGAGACATCACTGGAACTAGATGATGAGATCCCAGCTCTGGGATCCCATGGTCGGTATATTATGTTACCCAAATGCTCATGTATGAGACAATGCAAGAACATTCAGAGGTGAAGTGATTAGATTGTTTGTAACCTCATCAGTGGATTGAACTACTGATGTAGATTCACTGGGTGGTAACCTAGGTAAGCAGGTAGAGTGTGGCTTGATGAGGTGAGACACTGGGGAAATGCTTTGTAAGCCTGCTTGCTGATCCTCATGTGCTGAGCTGCTTTCTTCCACCATGATGCTCTGACTCATCTAAGGCCCCAAGGTATAGAGCTGGCTAACCATGGACTGAACCTCTGGAACTGTGGGCCAAAATGAACTTTTTCTACTCGATGTTGTTTTTGTCAGGAATTTTGGTCACAGCAAAAAAAAAAAAAAAAAAAAAAAAAAAATCTAACCAGTATCTGGAATGTTCTTCTAGGGCCAACCCCAGAATGTCTGAGTTTCATTTTAAGGAAGGTCCCTCTGAGAACTGCATAAGATGTAGTGCCTAAGTCTAGAAAAATGTGTCTACTTATAAAACCAAGCACATGTTTTGGGAGTTCACACGCATCTGAAGTTGATGGCTGGAATTCTTGCAGGCAATATGACACTTTGCCCCTCAGAGGGGGCTTAGCAGAGGGAAAAGTTGAAGGAGGTGGGCAGCATGGTACTTGGTTCCTGGGGAGGGTCTGTACTATCCTCTCAGTGCTAGTGAGTTTGGTAAAGCCCCAGCTCCCTCAATACTTCTCCTTAAAACTCCAATTCTGTCTCTTGTTACCCCAAAGAGAGCTCTGCCCGCCTCCCCCAGCCCCAAGAATAATTCTCATTGATACCTCATTAAACTTGCTAAGCAGCTTGATCTAATAAATAAGCTCTTAAATTCAAAATCCCTCACAACCTGCTCCCTCCTCCCAGCTCACTGGAGGTTTGCAACCTTCCCCACACTCCTGGTGTGTTCTCACTAACCCCGCCCCCTTCCAGTGGATGCCTTTCTTCATTCTCTGAAAGACAGCCAAGTGGAGGAAGTGCTATGGCAACTGCATAATGGAGACTAAGCCACCCGCCACATCATTTAGGTAAAGCACTGGAGATGTGGAGCCAAAGTAAATTATGGATAAATCTGTGGATAAATGGGACTAATTTGGCCTGTTCCTGAGGCACAGTGGGACAATGCAAATCCATTCACTGTTCCATTTCTCTGGGCTTTATTTGGTTATGATCAGCTTCCAAATGTTCCTTCCTCCTCTTCCTTTAGCTTCTTGTGACCTTTCTTGAGGTCATTTCCCTTTGTCCCAGCCCCCCATCACTGTGAGTGATGGCAATATGGAGAAGACACTGCTAGTGGAAACTCTGGGAAGAGACTCCTGAACACAAACTGGGATTTGGCAAATCAGGTCATACGTAAAGCACATCAAGGGTAATTTTGAATACAAAAGAGCTATTTGTTGAAACTGGTTTAAATGAAAATATCCCTCTAAAATGCCAAAATGTAATGCCTTCACATACCTGTACCTAAGTGGGAATTCTTATGATATGCAGTTATCTTTAAAGTAGGGCATACCTGAATGTGCTAAAGAGATCAGTTTTATCCTTCCTGTTCCTTGTCAATGACAATGCCCTGGAAAAAGCCTTCAAGGAGTTAGAAAGCTAAGTGCCCATAAGATTTTCATGGTAATGCTCAATATTTTGAAGAGTATTTGTGGTGTAGACTTATGGAACCAAAAAGGCTAGGGCAAGTTGATCTCTCAGTGCCTCAGCTTCTTCACCTTTAAAATGGAGCTAAGTCCACCTGCTTGTTCAGGATTAAGGAAAATACTGCACAAATGAGGTATCTGAGCATTTTGCAAGGGCCCAGCCCTTCCCTACTTATTCCTGTTTGAGACAGAGGGTTTAGGGTGATATATTAGAATAATCTTCAGGTTGAGTACCTGGAGACTTTCCTTCATGAGATTCCTTTTATATTTCTGAATACAGAGAGGATTGGTATTCTTTTCCTCCATATTCATCTTTTCCTTTTTATTGACTTACATTTTTTTTTTCCCAAAGGGGAATTCTAGCTCTCAGGCCTTAAACTCCAAGTATGCAGAGAATACCAAAGATGAGGATCTGACTGGATCTTTTCCATTATAGGCCTTTGCCATTCACTCACCTGATTAGTCACAGAAGGGAGTCCTTACCCTTGCAACTAATTTTCACACCTAGCCATTCATCCTTCCGTATTTTTCAGTGGGACTAAAAAAGCCAAGAAGTCTCTGCAAGCAGTTGGTTCCCCTAGACCGATGGGAGACTTCTACAATAGGATGACTGTAATACCTAGTCAATTAACTAACCCCCACCACAGCACTGTATAGTATACTCTCCTATGCCATAACCCCTTTATTTTACATACAAAGAACCTGAGGATGGGAGGTATTTGTCCTAGATCCGATAGTTCAAAACCCCAAACCCAGTAATTTCTCTTTCTTCTAATTCACAGGCTGTAGATTTGAGATGATTTTAGAGCTCTTATTGGGGATTTCCAGGGCTACCGAGAACATTTTATTCACCTTTCTGCTAAGCTTAGAGAAGCAAGCTGGTTTTGAAGAGAGGGAAGCACACAGGGGGTTCTGATCTGTGCAAAGTGTGGAGCCCTCCCTGTTCCAGGGTGGTTAGTGCAGAGAGAAGGTTGGCGCCTTATTTTGTAAACAAGCTCTCCGAGTATTTGGCAGAATGCCTCCAGCAGTAGTGGCAGATATGATACTTGTCAGCAGGAAGAGTTGTCAGTTGTTCTTACCACCTCTTTTTCAGCCAGGAGCTTACATCTGGAGGTGGTTTCACAGGGGAGGGAAGGGAAGGGGAGCCAGAGAGAGCTGATTTTAGATCGACTCTGCCTCTTGGAAGCTGTGCAACTCTGGGCAAGTTATACAAATCTACTGAACCTCTGGTTTGCTGTTCATAAAATGGGCATAATTATATTCCTTTGCAGAGTTTTTGCCAGTATTAAATGAGACACCATTTGTGGAGGGTTCTCAAAAAAAAAAAAACTGGGTTTCCTTCCTGTTTCTTAGGACAAAAATATCCAAATCTTAAACTATATAGGTGCAAATCTGTGGCAGAAAACCCTTCAAGCTAAGTTTCTGTAAGACCCTAACTTGCAAGAATAATCCACGTCCTCAGTCAATTTTGGAGCATTATCAGGTGCCTTTAGAAGGAAGACCTAGTGTCTCTTTGTGTGTTGAATGAGGAATGAGGTGATGATGGTGTAGAATTAGGGTGGAAATTGTACATTTTGGAGGAATGTTCACCTCTCTGGACTCTGACAGAGCAGTTCTCCCCTCATTGATAGGGAAGAGACAACCCTTTGTTAGGTCAATGAAGGTGACTTAGGAACAAAGCACCTAGCAGCCCCACGGCAAAAGAAACACAATCAGGTGCTGAGGGAACCGCCTGTCAATCCGTGGGGTCTCCTGGCCAATCCTGGATCTCAGCCAGTTCCTCGGACCAACTCCAGTGGGACAAGGGACTCTAAAAATCCCTTTTCCTGTCCCAAGCCCTCCCTTCCTACCCTAAGCCCCATAAAACTCCAATTCAGTCCAGCCCCCACGTGGTTTCTCCTATCTGCTCTGTTGGTCTGATTGAGATTCCACTCCAGGCGGAACTGTATAAAGCCAAGCCTCCTTCAGTGGCCTTTTAAAATTTGCCTCCTTTTTGGTTCCGGCCATTGCCTGACCTTACACCCTTGAAATAAGGGAATAATTCTATAAACCAGGCCCAGGGTGCTGACCCCCACATGCTTTCTGTCAAAAAGCAATTTGTCTGCAACCCTGTCTGATTTAAGTCAATAAGATGTTATATTCCTCAGCAAACAACCTGTTATTTGCAGGAGAAACATAGACCTGAAATGCTGATAAGAAAACAAGTTACCTTAGCAGGGAAGGGCAGACACTTTTGTGACCTTTACATGGACCAGAGATAAGGATATTTCCATAAAATCTGAAAGAACAGGTTCCAATTAGAACTGGTCAGCATGG